ACAATACATATGAAACTTGAAAACATCATGCTAAGTGAAAGATGCCAGACACAAAAGGTCACATGATTTTATTTATATGAAATATTCAGAATAGGTAAATCCATAAGGACAGAAAACAGATTAGTGGTTGCCAGGAGTTGGAGGAAGGGGAAAATGGGATGGGGAATGACTGCTTGATGGATATGGAGTCTCTTTTGGGGGTGGTGAAAATGCTTTGGGTTACACAAAGACCATGACTGTACAACAAGTTAAATGCACTAAATGCAATTGAATTGTATGCTTTAAAATAAAAGTAATAAATAATTTGTACATTGTTAATGTTTACCCAAAGATACATTTGTTTTCAAAATATGTCATTATTAGCAGATTTTTTTTTTTAGGAATTGTATTTCCAACTCATATTAGAGAAATAAAGTTCCTAAAATCCTCATTTCTACATATGGAAAATATAATATTCTTGCTTAGGAAGGCAAGGGGTCTTGCTTTGCAGAAGAAAAAAATTAACAGAACTTTCCAACCATAATATTTTTATTTTAATTCCTCAAGCAATTATTATTGAATTTTAAGTATTCTTTGAAACTATGGCCTACATATATTTAATGTTTAACCCAAGAGAGACAAAAGTACTCCATCCTGGGCTATGCCATTGATCTATAGCATGTTTACTTTTTATCATTAAAAAATGATCAAAAGATCACTGAAATAAGAAGACCTTATCAAGTTATGATATAGAGGGTAAAATTCCCTACTTTCATAAAATAAAGTTGAAGTTTTTAATCGCACGTCTTAAACCCTTTGCCATTGACCCCCAACTCTAACGGCCTTCATTCACACATTCACTAATAAGAATTCTCAGTATCAACTGAGAAAAACATCAGTAATTCCTTGCCAATATTTTGCATTCTCATACTTACTTTCAGGTAAGAAAATAGTAAGATAGGAATGGTAAGAAAGGGGACAAGATCTTCAAGTGTATTATATAAAGAATTGTAATTTTATTTTAAGAGCAATGGAAAGATATTAAAGGCCTTTAAACAGGGAAGATATCTGCTCAGATTCATATTTTAAAAGATCACTCTGCAGCGCTGGGGAAGATATGATGATGGCCTGGATAAGGGCATTGATAATAAGAATGCAAAGGAATAGTATATGCTAGACATATTTGTGATATGGGGTCATTAAGATCTAGTGTGGACTATTTTACAAGGAGGTCAGATAGAGAGACAATCAATTATAATTCCCTAGGTTTCTGGAGGAACTGGAGAAATCATAATGCCATTGTCCCTGTTTTGTGCCAGTACTATTTCCTTATTACAGTTCTTATCATACATTTGCTTGTTATCCCTGATAAGGTGTGAGATTCTGATAAAAAGGGTGGCATATTATTTCTCCCTGTGTACCTGTGTCTAGCAGACTGCCTAGCTGCAGCATTTTATATAGGCTATGGATTAGTATCATAAGACCAAAATTACCCACCCACTGCAAGTTCCTGATTTCTTTAGCCGAGAAAACAGAAGACACACAGTGAATGTCTGCACACCTTCCCTTGACGTCTAGGGTTCCTATCAAGGATAAGCTGGACTTGCTGTGTAAGAAAAGCTTAATACACTGTGGCACCTGAGCCCCTTTTATAGTTTTATATTACTACTCAGAAAAAAATGTTCACAAATATTTTTACACTAATGTTTTTATTTAGGAGAATGTTAACATGTTTATTTAGCAGAATGTTAACTAACGTAAGTTTGTTGGTTCATAAATCTAATTTACTGTCAGTAAGGCAACATCCTCGACTAAGTGAAAAAGCTATGAGCTTATTAGCATTTCTAAAAGCTTTCCTTGCTTCTTTCTTTCGAATAAACAGTGGTTTCTCTTCATCAGCACACAGCAGGTGCTCCTAGAATAAACCTCATCAGAGTATGAAATTATTACTCTTCAGTACACCACCACACATTCAGTTCCCAACTTAGTGCCTATCTCTGAATGGTACTGTTTAAATACTGAATGGATAAATAAGTGAATAAATAAATGAATATTTGTTAGATAAATACTGAAGGAACTAGCCCATTTATTAGTTTATACATTACTAAGTTTTTAGTATTTTTAAAAAATATTAAGATATAATAAATAGATACATTTTATAAATCTAAATGAATTATTATAGGAACTATGTTCCATGCAAATTTCTCAAGTCCTCTGATTTCTATATTATAGGAGCAACAAATACCTTTGACCATACTCAATGGTAAAAACATTGTAATATAAGTCAGTGGTAGTATCACTTTTTTAATCCTATTTTAAAAACTGATTTAGAGTTGCCACACAATTTTTATCAGGATCTTGAAAAGTTAAGTCAACTTTAAAGACTGAATTGGAGTTAGAGTTGCCACACAGTTTTTTTTAATCAGGGTCTTGAAAAGTTAACTCAATTTTTAAGACTGAATTTGGAAGTACTATTCAAATTTGTTTTAAAAGTAGTTTTAGTAGACACCTTCTTTAATGTATTCTAGCCTTAAAACTGAAAGACAGTTTTTATTACATAAATAAGGATAAATCTTATTCCTTAAACAGTCTGACTATTACTAAACTGTATCCTACTATATGACACAAAAATAAGAGTGCCTGGTCTATAGAAAAACAAGCTGAAACTTCTAGTTCTTGATACGGAGTAGATATATTTGTCCCTATTCCTCCCACTAATTAATATAAAAATCCTGAACACAACACAGGAGGTCCCTTACTTAAACTGGTTTGACGATGATTTTTCAACTTTACAATGGTGCGAAAGCAATACGTATTCAGTAGAAACTGTAGTTAGAATTTTAAATTTTGATGTTTTTCCTGGGCTCGCAATATGCTGTATAATACTCCCTCATGATGCTGGGCAGCTACAGAGAGCCACAGCTCCCAACTAGTCATGCAATCACAAGGGTAAGCAGCCATTTACAACTCACAACCATTCTGTACCCATACAACCATTTTGTTTTTCACTTTCCGTACATTATGCAGTAAATTACATGAGGGATTTAGCACTTCATTATAAAATAGGCTTGTGTTAGATGAATTTGCCCAACTGTAGGCCAATGTAAGTATTCTGAGCACATTTAAGGTAGACTAGGCTAAGATATGATGTCAGGTGTATTAAGTGCATTTTTAACCTATGATATTTTAAACTTACGATGGGTTTATTGGGACATCATTAGTTGAGGAAGATCTGTACATAAAACAAATATAAGAAGACTCTGAAAGGCAGAGAGAAGAAGAAGGATAGGATAAGGACTTTAGGAGTAAATGAACAACAGAAGAACAACAACTCACAGTGGTTAAGTTCTCTGGCTTTCTCTTTTCCTCCTAAGTATCTCAAACTAAGTACTAGAGATATCCATGACCCAGAAATGCCAACAGACACAAGCAAAGTAAGTCTCAAGGAAAGTCTGATCTCTCAAGCCAAAGAACCAACAAAGGGACAGACTAGCAGGATAGAAATCTTATTGACAATAACCATCCCTACTCTAGCCATATACCACTGGGGAAAGGAAAAAAAAAAAAGCCTTGCTCAGTGAAGGCCAAGTGAGAACCATGGAGTTCCACCACCATCAAGTGGTAATGAGGAACTCCCTCACACTCTCTTCAATGTGATGTCAGCAGGGGTCAAGTTAGGAGAAAGTTAACGAAAATGTACTAAAATTTACTGTGATGGGTGTACAACTATTCAAATATACTAAAAACTACTCAATTATTCCTTTTATATGGTGAAGTATATGGCTTGTGAATTATGTCTCAACAAAGCTATCAAAAGTATCAGGGAATATTTCTAGGACAATCTATAAAATCTATAAAATAATTTGTGAGATAAGAGACTTCATTATTGGCATCAAACATTTAGTACTAGTAGTGTAGTGTACTTTACAAGGTAATTGGAATTATATATTTAAATCTGATATGATCATTTCCTCAAAAGTTTATCATTACATGGAAAAGGTAGTGATCTAAAGTTACACATGTTATTACATAGTATATAAAATAAGATTCTAATTTCTAGCTATGAAAATTCAATGATATTTAATTACATTATACCACATGATGCTATATTCTAGTAATCTAAAAGACATCCAGGCTTTCAAAAAGACTGCATGGCCTGAGTGTCAAAAATTAACTGTAAATGAAGAAATAGGTAAGTAGCAAAAGAGGCTAATTATGTTGGTCTAACTCCTTTTTGTTTCAAAAAAAAAAGTGTTCTTTCTTTGCCAAGCTGAATATAATAGCCTGTGAATTATAAGATCAAGGACACAAACTGTATGTTTTCTAAAATATGAGTATCCTTCATCAAGTTTTATACTTAGGGCAGCTAAAAGACCTCTGTGGAGGGATCAGCATTAAGCCCAAAGGACAGGCAGTGCACAGCAAGAAAGAAAGCAATTCCCTCGTGTCCTTTGCAGGTCACTACCAAGGACCATGTTAGCAGATCCATACCAGACCCTTAACAGGCAGTTCTGCTGCTACCAGTAATTAGCTTGGACAGCTCTGGCTCCAAGAGTAGCAGCAAGGCTACACCATAATGAGCTCAGCTGGGATTAGCAGGACAGGGCAGGGAACCAAGAGAGCTCAGGCATTCTGCATTGCGTATGTATCTAGGAGATCAAACAAGGATGGCTGGCTAGGTTATCCCCTCTCCACCTCATTCCAAAAATGAAGTACGGCAGTGTCTAAAATACAAGCTAATGAAGAGCGACACCTCCAACAGATGAGAGCCACATTAATTAACACAATCCCTAGATCATATTATACAGTTTCAGCTAGAGCTAGCAAATGTGCAACTTGTTATTGCATTATACATATATATATATTTTAAAACCCAGCCTCTTTTTTCTTAACTTTTATTGGCAAAAATCAGATTACTTTATTTTCCAAATTTTATAAGAAATTTCTCTCATGGCCTTTAAGACATAAAAATTTTCTCTCAAACATTTATCTAAGTCCACACTGTTAAAAAAGAAACTCACTTTTGAATCATTAGCTCCTGGTTCTCTCTTTTGAAATAGGCCAGTTCATTCCATACAGCATCAGAATCTTCTTGTTGAAGTTGTTGAGGATCTGCTCTCTTTATTTTCCTGATTTCCATCCTATTTTTAAAGTGAAGTTACTTTCTTACTTAATATGTTCAAAATGCAATAAAAACTCATTTATACATTCTCTAAAAATTTTAAATATCTATTGACCAAATTTCTAATTAAAGCTCACTATTTTACGAATTTCCTAAAACCTAAGTACACAGCAATTAAAATCCTTGATCATGTTATCCTAAAAAACCTAAACTGCTACTATGAGAAGCAAACTTCAAAGCAGACACACAGTATTTTTAGCTCTATTTCTCTCATTCATTCTACTAGTGATAAAACACTGTAGAACAGTCACAGTTTCCATAAAAGGATTATAAGTAATCAATACATCTGGAATTTGCTGCAACCAATCTGAATGTGGTTTATGTACTCTATCTTAAAACATGCATTAATCAGTGAATAGCGTAATATCAGATAGTTAGAAAGTAGTTTTCACACTTTTAGTGGCTACTAAAAAGTTAGGTGAGTAGAGGCTAAATCCAACTGCTTTACCAACAGGTCATATGAAATACTTTCCATTCTTCAAAGGAAAAATTTAGATGTGACAGTTATCTACAAAACATGCTAAATGATCTTTATGTTTTCATTTTCTGTACATAAAACAAACTCTTCATTTTATTTTGTAAAAGTGCTGTACTGGCCAATTTAGAAACAGTATTTCTCTATAGAAAAGACCAATGTGTATCATCAACATTGCCCTAAAGGATCCATCTGAAAAGATGAGAGGGTAGTAGATTTTCTGTACTCATTCAGTCCTTTGCCCTCTGTTGATACTGTTAACAGGGGAGCCACTTACGACTAACCAAGATCTGAACACCTGTTCAGAGCAATTGAACTGAGACCGCCAATTCATTCAGATAAGCTGCAGAACAAATGGATGGATAGTAAAGATTTTCAAATTGCATACTAGGTTGAAGTAGTTTTAAGGCAGTTAACTATATATGTGAATTTCGTATTTCTCATGCCTTTCAATTAAAACTTAAATACTCTTTGATTTATATATACTGTAACACCAATATTTTATTTATTTAAAGTAGTTTTTCAATCATATGGATAGGAACTATTTTTCCTTTAAGCTATATACTTGTATTAAGTTACTCTATAGATACCAAAATATAAATAATTCAATCGCCCATGCTAATGATTTCTGCAAACGATAGGAAAATCAAGTTATTGCTAGCATATTTTTGTTTTCATTTATTATATTCTCTATTCAAAAATCCTTGATAAAGATTTGACTACAAAATAATTTCTTCACAATCAAACAAAAGCCATTTAAGCACCTATATGATGCTATTCCATTCCATTTAATATTTAGGGAAATGCCTTTATGAGCTATGTAACTCACATGCCACTGCCTTCCTCCCACTGTTTTAATTGCTCTTTTACTGCTCTGTAGTTGGTCTGTAACATCTGTAGCCTTGCCTTGCGTTTTTCATGGGCATCTCTTAGCTCATCATTTTCCTGGCTCTGTAGAACACAAGAAAATCAAGTATAAAACTTTGAAGAAAGTATTAGTATAATGTTGTAAATAAAAGTTTACCCATCTAAACATGAAATTTGAAAGAAAAAATTGTGTAAATATGAATGAATTTGTAATACTTATTTAAGCAGAAGAAAAAGAATTCCTAGTCACAGAACAGTTTTGCTTGATAAATTTGAGGTACTCACTGCATTTTCAAAAAAATCTTAAGTAAATTCAAAACTTTGCCATCAAATTATTCTCATTCCTTTCCCTGTTGTTAATTGTATATATACACATATTTATGAATCAATCTTACATACCAAAAAATTTTTTTCAGCACCAGGAGTTGTCCATACATAAGACATGATTATTTTGTTAGCTATAAGCACACATATAATTAGGGTAAGCTCATAGTAAGACCAGTTCATTAGTTCACAGATTCATAAGTAGTTTGTTATAATGCACAAAGATTACATATGAGGAAGGAAATTAGTCTGGACCTATGTTAGAAGTGGCATAGTTAACATTTTGGGTTGAACCATAAGGAACTGAAATAGGAAAGCTGGGCTTAGTACTCTTGAAGAGGTTATAGAAAAGACAGTCTAAACATTACTAGGTTAAACAACCATAAGTTAATGACTTCTAAATGTTTTAAATAGGACATATGCATAAATCTTCATTTTCTACATAACAACAGAACGAACTTATAAAATAGGCCAAAGTTTCAGTCCTCAAGGGAGGTATTTATATTACTTACGAACTGTGTTTCTCAAAGTAAAATAAGTATTGAGTTTTTTTAACCTCTGATAATTTCAAATTTTCTTCTTAAACTCTTTTAATTTTCTGTATGAAAGAACTCGTATACTTTTTCAGTGGGGACAACTGGTACTCTTAAGATTATAGTGAGGTGAGAAGAGTAGGCACGTGGCAGGCAGAAAGACCTGAATTGCATCCCTGGAGCTTTCTCCTGTTAGCTGCATAATCTTAAGAACAGTATTTAAATTAATTTAATTTTTTACTGTAGAATATGGAAAAGAACACAGAAATTTATATTATGACAACTAAATTGAGTTAACATGTAGGCAAAGGCCCTGGCACTGTGCTTGCCCAACAGAGGCACAAAGCAAACCCGTTTTATTTTGTCCTCTTCCCAAGATTTAACACTGATGCCCTTATCATTCAGAAGCCAAATTTACTGTTACTATCTGTTTCTCATCCCAATAGTAACATAATACTTTATAGAGCCTACATTACTTTACTGCAATTCTACTTGTCTCAACAGTATGGATATTTTGTCATTTCACTTTGAACATATATCTAGCAGGATAACTTCAATAATTCTTTTAACTAGTTATTAAGAAGTATTTTTAGCCCTGTGTGTATCAAGTGGTCTGTATGCAATGTGAAAATACAAGTACTTGATGAAAATGGAATCACTTGACAAGAGCAATCAGAATAAATGTTATCCTAAAGAATTTCAGAAGATATACAAATCATGGTCACTGTACAGTTACTTGGTAAAAAGTAGTATGGTTTAATACTATGGTTAAAAATTCAATATACTGAATTCAAATTTGTTTGTTTCAACTGAAAAACCATATATTAAGACCCTATTACATGCATGGTGTTCAGTGCTGATATGAGTTCAAGTCCTGTTGCTAAAAGTTACTAAATTTTACCTTGATATAGCTACTTAAATCCAGTGTGTCTCAATTTCCACATTTTCAAAATAGAACCTATTTATATCTCTTCTTCTAAGACATAAAGAATGATTTAACTATGACCTTGACTTTTCCATACTGTTGGTAAACAACCCAACTTCTTTGGACAATAAACTTTCTACTCTTATGAATGTGAAATAAATCATTTAAATTAGCCAAATAGAAGAATGATAATTAATAATGCTATCTTGTCATAAATGAACCAAAGTTAACTATGTTTATTAGGATTCTTTATAAGCTAATAAAATTTATTATGAATTTAAGTAGGATATATTGTAAATGTATTAATAAAATAATTTAATTATTTATAAATTTACAGATATTAGAAAAGATTCATGTCAAAACATAATTTTAAAGTAATCTTACAAACTGACTACTTTGTTAGATACTTCTAGCTTCCTGTAACTATCCTTCATTGAATAAAAATCCTTCCCCATAAATTCCTATTTTACAATGAATTTTTAAAAACTATTACATACAAATTCAGTGTTTTGAAATTGTTAAGTCTGTGTTAGAGACCCTAGAAATTTTAAGCAGATAAAACCTAAAAGATGGACCAAGAAGTAAAAATTAATAGAATAGGGTATTCAATTTTTTTCTATTAGCTTTCAAAATAACTCTCTGTTAAATTAATGAAAAAATTGAGTTTCTTATTGATAGTACTTTCATTATTTTAGTATTTTTCACTACTGCCTCAGCTACCATTAATCACTGAATTTATATCCAGTGTTTTCCCTAATTCTCAGATAGAAGTCGACTATACTATGCTAATAAACCAAAGATTAAGACTCAGTAAAAATTTCCTAAGTCATACATGTCACTCACAAAGTGCGAGGCTCTGTACTAGGCATAGTAGTTAATCGAAGCACTTGATGTGGCCACTTGTGATTCCTAAAACTTCCATTAAGTAGTGATTATGGAAAAATAGTTTAATAGGTAACATTTCTGCTTTAATTTTACATGCTTTGTAATTTATTACACCGAACAGTAGAGTATTTACATAATTCTTAAACATTCTTATACATTATTCTTACTCTTATAAATTTTTTATAAAATATAACTCTTAGAAAATTACTAAAATCCAAACTATTAAGAATAAAACCAAACTAAATATTTGGTAAATCGATTTGATAGACAACTTAAAATAATTATTTAAAAATACAGCTTCATCCATAGATTTTTGCTTTGAGAAAACTGTTCTCAAATTGTGATACATGGTTTAAACTGATCCTAGAGACCACTGTTTCTTTGGCCTACTTCAGAAATAGACAGCAAAATTTTATAAAAATGTAAATATAAGATAGATTAGGTATAGCTCAAAGAAAAATGCTTTTTCCTATTTAACTTCAAGAACAGATGCTGACTAAAACCTTCAGTCCAAAGTTGGATATCTCAAAAGAAATGTTTTAAAAGAATAATTAAAATACTTTAAACAATATTCTAACAAATACAAGTTATCTATTAGTTTGGATTATGATTCTTTAAGTCCCATTTGACTTATAATCGTCTAATTCAAAACAATAGTACATCATTTGGGAAATATTCTCAAAGATCTTACAAAAAATTAAGTATAAAGGCTGAAAAACACATTTAATATGATTAATTACTACAGTTTCCAATGAGGACACATCCAAAAATATCCCATGGATTTAGGTCAATCTATTAGATCATTCAATATAACATTTACAGAGTATCTTCTACGTATTTTGCAATTAAACTAGCTAAACTAGAGGCTCTAACCAAACAAGTGTACAAACAAGTCTCAATAACTAAAACATTAGAAAATAAAAATAGGAACATTGTATCAACTGACTTTCCTCAATGATCTTTGTAATTCTACTTCTGAGTTCGTAAGAACAGAAATGATTCTTAATAGAATCTTCTAGTTTGGTCAAAGGCTTTTTGACAGGCAAAAGGCAAACTAAGAGCATGAACATTATTAATAAAACAGTAGTTCAATCTTCAGAGAATGATAGCAAGGTTTTAAAGTTTTTTTATAAAAATAACTTTTATAAAATCCCAAGGATTCCATGGATGCTTAACTTCAGCAGAATGTACAAACTTCATGAATATTAGAGCATTGAAAAATGAAAGACATATAAACTGCATTCAAAGGACATATTGATGTTATTAAATGTCATAGAAAAGTACTAGCAGAATCAAGTTGCCAAATGCATGAAAGTCAGTAAAGCAGGGATTCATGGCATTAGTAATTTCAAGGGTAGTAAGAACTTCATAAAGCTCTGCTGGTTTCCAAATTATACTTTATAAGCTTTTAGTTCACTATATCCATGAAGTCAGGATTTGGAAATGGGTGGGCTTTTTATGATAATAGCTTTCATGTCTTCTATTGCTACTGGCTCTATAATTATAACACTGGTTACCCACCTTGAAAACAGCCACAAAAGAGAGCTGAGCAAGACAGTGTGTTAATATTTATACAATTTCATGTAATATTATAATATATATAGAATTAGGATAATATGCATGACTACTGCTGATATAATAGAAAATAGCTTGTCAATGTGTCAACATTTATGTACCCGTGTACCAGAGGCTCCTGAAACTTCTTCGTCCCTCCCTCCCTTCAACCCACCTTGGTGATCAACTTAGGATCCTAAAGCTACCTACATTGCCGTGGAGCATGTCTTTTGTCTTTAGTGTTTCCAAAAGTATCTTCCATGGTCTTTTGAGAAATATTAGTAGGCATAATCAAGTAAATATGAGAAATAATATTTCTCTACCTTCCTATAGATTCACAATGCACACTGATATGTCAAAGGCTCATTAAAAAAAAGAAAGCTTTTAATCTACTGCTTAAAAAATTGAGCATAGAATAGTTTTGTCTGCAATGTTCCCATTAGTTTCTGGCAGAGCAATATTCAAAAGAATACCAACATGGGAAAGGCCATGACAAAAATTCAGTGAGGAATGGTCTTCAAAAGGAGCATCATGATCCCAATGTATTTTAAAAACCGTAAGACACTGTTTAGGTTCAAATGAATCTCTCCCAAAAAGATATATTGGAGTGCTAACCCCCACAATCTCAGAATGTGATTTTATTTGAAGATAGGATCTTTCTAGAGGTAAGCAAGTTAAAATGAGGTAGGGTGGGACCTAATCCAGTATGACTGGTCTTCATAAAAAGAAGATATTTAGACACAGAGACACATACATAGAGGGAAGATGATGTGAAGACACAAGGAGAGGGCCATCTAAAAGCCATGAAACACCTGAGGCTACAAGGAGCTATAAGAGAGGAATGGAACAGATTTTCCCACATAGACCTCAGAAGGAGCTAACCCTGCTGACACCTTGATTTTGGACTTGTATAGCCTTCAGAACTTAGACAAGACATTTCTGTTCTAAGCTAGCCAGTTTTTGGTAGTTTTTCACAGCAGCCCAAGAAAACTAATTCAGACATTAATTCCTATTTTATGTTATATTCACATGTATTTGAGAAACAGCAGTAGTATCAATATTACAGCCTACTAATGAAGAAGACAGACCAGGCCTCTATCTTCACTAAATACGACAGTTATACTTACTATAGTCAGGTTGCAAATTAAAAAGTGCCTCGGACCAAATTACTCTCCTTGGAGTTGCTTTACTTTACAGGTTTTGTTTGTTCATTCTTTTTGCTAAATGCTCTTGATTATAGTGCCTTTTTTATTCAACTATTTTGCTCCTTTAAAATAAGAAATCCTATCCTAAATGATAAAATACAAAGAAAAAAATTTGCTCCCATTTTTTTCCCTTATCTTGCAAATCTGTGAAAGAAAACAAACGTTTGAAATTCATGATTATCAACAATTAACTTGAAAGAGGAATACAGAAAAAATATTAATGAAAAAGAAGTTGTGTGAAAAATAATTTTACTCTAAAAATAAACTTGGGCCCTCATCCAAAGAGCTGTTGCTAGAAAAATGGAATAAGGAAATAAATTATTATAATGTTTCTGAGACACTTTGAAACAAGAAATTCAAGAGGCTGAAAGCGAACAGATCTAAAAATGTCTGAACTGCTCTACTCCTTCCTGCCAAAAACAAGGAACTAAAAAAGACTCACAGACTTCTGCTGGCATATGGGTGGAGATTCTCTACTATTGAAGGATATGTGATGGTTAATTTTATATGTCAATTTGACTGTCCAGATATTTGGTTAATCACTGTTTCTGGGTATATCTGTGAGGTTGTTTCTGTGTGAAATTGACATCTGAATCAATAGACTGAATAAAGCAGACTGGTCTCCCCAATGTGATAGGCTCCAACCAATCCACCGAAGGCCTGAATAGAATAAAAGGCTGAGACAAAAAGAATTCTTTCTTTCTGCCTGTCTTTGAGCTGGGACATTGGTCTCCTGTCTTTAGACTCAGACTTGGACTGGGCCTGGAACTTCACACCATCAGCTCCCCTGATTTTCAACCCTTTGGACTCAGACTGGAACTATATCATTAGCTCTCTTGGATCTCCAGCTTGACAACTATATATGTTGGACTTCTCAGACTCCGTAATCATGAGATTATGCGATCATGTGAGCCAATTCTCCTTATAGTAAATCAATCTCTGTCTCTCTCTCTCTCTCTCTATACACCTGTACATACACATACATACATACATGCACATATATTTCAAAATAATGATGTCCCATTAGGGAAGACTAAAGGATTATATCCTATTGGTTCGATTTCTCTGGAGAACCCACATTAAAAGAGGACAGAAGCAGAAGGCTTGGCGTGTGAATTTCAAGAATTATGCAAAAGGCAGATGATGGTTTCCTAAACATGCCCATAATATACTGTGCATACCCCGATGTTTACTCTAATACACTAGATTCTAACTACTCACTCAGCATCATTATTTTCTCCTATTGTACAGTAAGTGATTAGCACAGTGCTTGGCTAACTGAGTTATCCAATAAGTTATTGAGTAAACGAATGAGCAAATAACTCCAGGTGTATAAATTTCAAGTACACTAAATGCTAGCAAGCTGAGGTCATATGGTCATTTTATTCTGGGGAGAAACAATAAATGGTAACTTTTGTTGTTTTAGAACTAGTAATTTAACTCTGAATAAATGTAAATTAACATAATGTTTAGTGAAAAGGTAGAAGAAAACTATCAATTGTAGCTTATGGTTAACCATACCTCTAAACCATATTTTGCTCTAGAGTACAAATAATGTAAGTCAAAATATTCCCCCTAAGAAAACTCTATATGACAAAAAAAAAGCTTTAAATATATTGGATTTTAATCATGTGTAAGTTGGGTTTGTCAAAGAATGTTATAAAACTATTTGAGATTCAATTAAATGGCTAAATCTCAAATAATGCTGGTCATCGGCTACTTATAAATGAAGGATGACAAGTCTAGCCACATTAAATTCACAGAAAAATTAAAGCCCTCAATATAATCACATAAAATTGGTTCAAGATGTACAACTAACTTCATCTGAGAAAGATAATTCTCAAAGTATGAATTGGAAAGTATAAATGATCAAAGATAGAACAATAAAGGTATATGCTTCTTAAACATTGGTAGAACACTGACTCAGATGTCATGTATTCTGAGAAAAATTCAGTTGAAATGGAAAAAATAACATATTTACTTGGCATTTTGACTATGTAATTTTTCTATAAAGGACAATTTTAAGTGGTCTGAGCTAGGTTACCAAAGCTGTTAACTCACTTTTCTTTTTATATGTTTATCATATATAATGAACTATAAGAAATTCTCTTCCCATTTGCAGTAGTTCTATTTTTTGTCTCTGAGAAACAATAAGAAATTTATTCCCAATATTAAGCCAAAATATTCCCCAATAATTTTATAGTGAATAAATATTTAGTTTCAAGTAGCAAATTTTTATTACTGTATGATCATCAGAAATCTAAAAAACTTATACTAATTACATTTTTATACATGTAATTAAACTCAGGAAAGACAAATGATAAGCAGTAATTTGTGAAATGAATGTTTACTTTCGTTCATCTTTATCTATGCAAGGTTGTTACTAAAGAAATGATTTAATGTTCACCTTTAGTTGTAGTGCTTTCTCTAAGTTTTCAATCTTTCTTTCAGCTTTTCTCAGCTTCTTTAGCTCCTCTGAGTCTGTGAAAGAGGTCTTTGGGGACAAAGACCTTGAACGTTTCACAGGTGGTTCCTCGAGAATAAAACAAGGACATGGTTGAACTAGTTGGAACACTGGATTATGAAAGACATGCAAAATTAAAGAACAAGTAATTTTGAATACTAATAATGAATTATAAAAAAAATCCTGCATGGAATACCAGAGAAATAACAAGCGGAATTACCACAGTGCTACCGCTAAAGGTTTCTCTGTGACTCGTTAATGAGAATATTCATTTACATTTACATTGTTTCTTTCAGAATAATGATGTCCCATTAGGGAAGACTAAAGGGTTATAGACTCAGAAATGCAAGAAACCTCATTACAAAGGAGGGGATAGAGGCTGGTCTAATTGCTCTATAAGGGTCCAAGGTTACACTTGATAGGACAACCAGAAACAAGAGGGAAAGGATTTTTTTTCCCTTTGAAATAGTTTAACACACTGTGAAGTTGAAGGAACAATATGCTTGAGGAATATAAATACAACAGACAGTAGATCTTATACCACAATGACCATATGGTCATTAACTATAATGTGGCTAACTAGAGACAAGAATGTGTGTTTATATTATGTACAGCTTCATATACCAATCTGGAGAAGGAATATGTGAAAGCAACCATTAAGCTGGGCAACATATTGTTCATACTTACAGCATGTCCTTACAAAAAAGAAAGAAAATTTTGTTCAAAATATCTCTCATCATCTTGACTTTTGTTAAAAGCAATGAAACAGCAAAGCAGTACATTTTTAAACTTCAGCAATACAGCATATAATCAAATTAGGCCCTATAATGTTGTCTCTCAATTTTAGGAATGTTTTCTTTTATTTAAATAAAGCTCAGTGCTGTGAAACTACTACAAAATAGCAAGAAATATATAAAGTAGTTATGTTCAAATATATACATACACACATACATAGATAAATAAAAGCTCATTCTCTTGAAAACTACTAATAATATTAGAGGGAATAAATAAGAATGCCACAGAAATATCAGTCTAATTTTAAATACTTCCTTTATTAAAATAGTATGTTCTACTCAGGAAAAAAATGAAAAGAATGAAAAACAATTATCTTGAAAACATGGTTTTCTACTTTTAAAAACATTATTTTCTAATGTTGAAGTAACAAGTGTGAGACATATGTGCCTAAAACTCTTTACTTTTACGAAAAGTTTATTTCAATTTATATGGAAATAATATATTTACAATGTGATATTTTGAAGTTTTCATATTATTCAATGCTCATAGAATCTTTTGCAACATAAAATATGTAATAAATACTACAAAAAAGGAAAAGTTGAGAATTAATAAATAAGAACCATGCTACAAAAATCTGCTTATTATTCTATACTGCAACACCTTTAAATCTGAAAATATGTATCTGCATATATTAATGTTAAATTCCATTTTATAGTATATTTCGACATGGGCAGTATTTTAAATATCATATTTGAATGAAACAGAAACACTAAGGTACATTTTTCTTCTAATTAAAATTAGAAAATTGAGTTAAGGACTAAGTACCACAATAAAATTTCTACTTCTATCTATAGATTAGATAGATGAGGAATACTTCTCAAAACTTTTTAATATAAGAATGCTAATTTACTGCAAAAGAGGTATATCATTACTAATATATTAACTTAATTAAGTCAGGAATATATTATTCAGTCTTCAAAAAGGGAAAACTTGCTACTCCCAACCGTGATTTTATCAAACATTTGACATGTAATGTTTTTTAAAACCTTCCAGAAATATAAGCAGAGAAATAAATGCTGCTGTTTGCTTTTTAACTTCATTGCCTGCCTTGCCAGATTCACCCTGACAAATTCACAAAAATGACAAAATGTCCCTACCTTATGTTTCCCGTCAGCACTTGTCAAGATGCTCTTCTCTGAGGAACCCTTGTTGGAAGATCTGTTCTGTGACAGTTTCTCATTTGCTATTTTCAGTTTCTCCTGTAAATACTCAATTTCAGACTTCTGTGAGACCATTAAGGTTTCTAGACTTGATAAAGATGGCTGTTGAGAAACCTATTTTAAAAAGTATGTTTGTATCTTACATTATTTACACATACATGCAAATATTTATATATAATATTATATTATATAAATCATAATTATTCTAAGAAAGAATATTTCATTTCAATAATAAACTGTAAACCTGCATCAGCTAAGCTTCCATCATCCTTACAGAATGGAATTTTTCAATAAAATAACTATGAGTCTGTATAAATATCTTCATAAATAATATTGTCATACAGATTTGCAGGAGGAAAATATTAAAAGTGTGGTTGCACCATATATACCATCCACCTATAAATTATTTCAGATTAATGATTTTACACATGTGTATTTCCCCAGGAAATATTCAATGCAATGCCACTAAATATGAAGCTGGAAAAAGGAAACCAACAGCACTATAGGTTCAATTAGATTTAAATGTACTATAATTTAATAATAACAACTCAAAGAACTCTGATACTTTTTAAAGTCAACAGAGTCCACAGTATTCTCTTTTGAAATTTATTCCTATGTCAGGTAAACTGTTAATGGTAAGAACCACATTTTAACAACAGAAATCACAGGAAAATTAAGCTTGTAGGAAACCTATTCACGAAAACTAGCATTCTGCAAAACTGTACCACCATCTTGACTAAATATATTTGAGACCATTATAATCTATTAATATATGCTATTTAAAACTAACCACTCTGTTGACAAAAAAACAAGAATAATAAATCATAGTGAAAACAAAGTTTTTGTTGATTTCCAGCAAAGAAAAGCCACATCTTATGATTCAATATGGATCTAGCAGCCCTGAAAATAGTTTAAATGTGGAGAGCCCCATCCTTCCTAAATGAAATTTCCAAGGACTATGAGAAAAATATGTCTGTTTAACTTTTCTGAACCAACAATGAAATGGATTATCCTTTCCTGATTTTGATTACTTTTTCATTTCTTTGGGAAAGAGGCGATTTTTTTCTAATTCTAACCTGTAATTTTTTACAATGAGAGAGATCACCTTTGATTTATACTATTACACTATCCTCATATATAAATCACCTGATTTGTTTCCCAATCTTTATTCTATCACACTACTAAATATTTTCCTCAGAGTGTTGTTTATATTGTACTGTTACCACACTTACAGTATTAAATATTAACTCCATTACCTTGCTTTGAATGTCATATTAAATGTTCAGTAAAGAGGGCATTCGTAGCTATTCAGCTCTAGCCACTTGTTTTCCTGGAACAAACTCTAAAGGACTTTGCCCTATTCTTTCCTCCATCTTTTAACCACTGTATGGCTTTTATTTATTTATTCCTCCTCTTTTATAAACAAATTTATGATGTTTATAAATATTTCCTTTGATTGAGCTGCCAATATGAACAATTCGCAAAGGCTCCCTGCTCTTGCCCAGGTTTTATTACATAAAATTATGAGGAATATATTAACATCCCATCATTTACCAATTTTAAACAAATTAAGATCAACAAAAATTTAGAAAAAATAGGAAAAATATAATAACTTTAGTTTATTGGTACATCCAATAGCAACCCTGTCTTCTTTAATAAATGAGTTTTCTAAGGCACCACTGGGTTATAATGTAATAGATCAAAACGTAAAAACATGAATATTTGGTCAAGAAACTGCAAAATGATAAATAATTAAAATACTCATGAAGGTATTAAAAATGCTTCAACAGTGGATACTGCCCCTGTAATAATAAAAGATTTCATAATTAGGCAGCATTCCTTTGAAATTCCTCAATAAACAATAAAAGAACTTCAAAACTAAAATACTGTTAAAGTAGTGATTAACTCAAGTGCACAGAGGAGCCATAATGTAAATAAATAAGTAAAGTGGGTTGTGTTTCGTTTGTTTTTAAATTACAGCTTTATAATTCATTCAACAGAGATACTCTGTATACATATTAAACATGTAGATATGTTCTTCACTTCCACAAGGCAACTTATGTATGCTCCAAGTTTCTTAAAAACGTCTTCTCTCTCTTCCTCCCTTTCTCTCTCTCCATTCCTCTCTCTTTCTTCCCTTTCATCCCTCTTGCTAGAGATATATGCACGAGAAATATTTCACATTTCTTTTAATATGACCATTTTCAAAACTATAAGTAAAATGAAATGTCAAATGTCAGCCTCACGTGCAGTAAGGAGGGCATTCGTAGCTACTCAGCTCTAGCCGCTTGTTTTCCTGGAACAATGTGGCCCACTATTGCTAAATCTACTGATTTTCCAAAAGAAGGGAGGAATTTGTCTTTCTAAGTGAAATCTAATTTTAAAATATTGGCCAGATTCAGTTTATACTGACTTCAGTATTTTGAAAACATGATGCTGGGAGTATAAACTGCTATAAATTTCCTAGGAAAATTGCGAAATATAAATCAAAGAACATAAAAATGTACTAAGCCTTTGATTTTGTTCTAATTATGCTGAGGGTTTATAGACAAAGATATTCATGATAAACTTGTAAGAGAGGAAAGCAGCTTACAAAATAATATTGCATACTGTACAGAAACAGATTGCCCTAAACCCTGAAATGTTAGTGTTATTTCTGAGTGGAGGTACTATATGTGAATTTTCTTCATACATATATAAAATTTCCTTAAATTTTTTTTACAATGAACATGTGGTCACTAAAGGTTTTTAAACGTATTTTTCTGCAAATAAAAGGAATAAAAAAGTTCAACATAAAAATTTCAGTATAGATGGGGAAATATAAACAAAAGTTTCTCCATAATTTCAACTCTCAGAGTTCACTTATTGTAAGTTTGGGATAGATGGCCCAGACTTTAAAGAGAAAAGAAAAACCATTGTAATTCTACTCCTTTTTTTAAAATTAATTGACTATTTTTTAGAAAAGCTTTATATTTACAGAAAAACTGAGCAGATACTACAGAGTTCTCCTACACCTCCACTCCCACCCATCCAGTTTCCCATATTATTAGCAACTAAAATTAAAACAGTACATTTGATACAACTAATGAACCATTTTTCATACATTATTTTAACTGAAGTCCCTAGTTTATTCAAATTTTACCTAATGTTCTTTTCTGTTCCAGGATCCCATCCATGATACCACACTACATTTAGTTGTCATGTCAGCAACTCTTGGCTGTGCTGGTCTCTCAGACTTTTCTTATTTTTGATGACATTGATAGCTTTGGGGAGTACTATTCAGCTGTATTGTAGGGTATCCCTCTATTGGAATTTGCCTATGTTTTTGTCATAATTAGACTAGGGTTATGAATTTTGAGGAGGAAGATCTCAGAAGTAAAATGCCAGTTTCATCATATTGTATCAAGGGTACATATTATCAACACGATTTGACTCCTGACATTGAATTTGACCACCTAGCCAATGTAGTGCTTGTTAGGTTACTCCACTGTGAAGTTACTCTTTTGTCCCCCATTTATACTATACTCACTAAACCTGTATATAAAACTTAATAATTATACATATGCTTATTATATGTATAATATATATGAGAATATGTGTGTATAGCCTCATTATCCTTACTTTTCCTTTTTAAGTGTTGCTTTACAGGCTTAGCAAGATCAAGACAATCAGTCCCCTGTCTGTGGAAATTCATTCTATCTATTGCCCTTAAAACCCTAGATTCTTTGAAAGGTTAACTTTCCTTGCTAAGAATTATTAGTATTTTATAAATAAACTTTTTCTCTAATGTCAAAAACTCTTGTGCACTTTTTAATTTACAGTCTTAGAAGATAATGGTATGGGGCTAGATCATAGACTGATACGAAATGATCAGTGGAGTATGCATCCAAATGCCTCCAATTGGAACTAATCTCTATAAACTGACCATTATTAATATATAACTTCTTTTTAACACTGATTCAGAGTTAATTTTGATCAAAAAGTCCTCTCAATGATATAGAGGAAAAGGAGAGGGGGGAGTGAAGCCTTTAAGTTTTGTGCCAATTACCATTAAAACATTATATAAATTAAATATTCATTTTTGTTGCTTTAAATTCAAGCAACATTGTATGACATTTTTTCGTAGAGGCTGAGTGAATACTGCTTAATAAATAGAAAATCCTTTCACAGCTATCACAATTGCAAAGAACTGTAAGTTTAATTGCTTTGTTTTAATAATAAATTTTAATTCAATATACTAACTTGTTTACTACTTTATTAAAATAATAATAACAAGGATCTAGTGAAAAACTATTGAATTGCTAGCTTTAGGTAAGTATTTCATATACATTATCTCACCTATTCAAGACATTTATAAATTCCAAACCTGTCAACATATAATACAGCCTATTGCAAAATAAAAATATTTTAAAAGGATCTGATACCTCAGCAAAAGAAAGTCTCTCCCTAAATAATACCTCACTGAAAATTAAATATAGTTTAAACATATGTTTGTTTTTAAAATCTGTAATATGTGTGTATATAAAGTATTCAACCCATATATGTACATATCAGAGAAACTGACATCTTGAACGGTGGTTCTATGAAAATCAACTCAAATCTTCTTGGAAGAAGACAGAATATAAAATTTATACAGTTATTTATATAATTTTCTTCTCATGAAATTGCTGAATCTCTATAAAAACTTAACATTTTATTTAAATTTGATTTTAGAAATGCAGAAATATATCTGTTGCCAACTTATAAGACGTTTTTAGCTGAATCATTTCTAACCTGAAAACAGATGACTTCAACAATCATCATACAGTATTAAAAATAAAGAAAAAAATAACATGAAATCAAAATCATATCATAAATCAAAATAATATTATCACAAAAGTTCACAAATGGAATTAAGTATACCAACTTAAACTTACAGCTAATTTACGAAGACTACTAAATCGAGTAATAAATGTCTAGTATCGAGTTAGCTAGCTTTCTCTTTTAAAAAACAAAAATATTTATACTTCTTCGACCCACTCACTTTTAACCAAATATCTTCAGATTGCACTTAAAGATCACAAAATGTAATGAAATTATTTACTATATTTAGGTAAAATTTAAACTGTCACCAT